GCATGAACTCGAATCCAGGAAATTCCGCTCGAACCGTCATCGTAGCCAGGCGGGCCCAGTTCTCCATGCGCTTGTAACATCGTGGCAGGGCATCGTCGATCTCCTTCTTGCCACCGAACGTCTTCTGCCGCTTGTCGATGTGGACGAGGACCTGCGGTGTCAGCACCTTGATCATGTGCTCGGTGTAGCTTCCGACTTGGGTGCACCCCTTATCGCAGAATAACTAATGGATATTTCGGAAGAAGTCTCCAACCTCGCCGCTCATCGCCGACTTACCAAACGCTTCGTTGTCGAGGAAACGAGTGAGGCGCAAGTTCTCATCTCCACCATCCGCCAGCATCGCTAGCTGGATGCAGCGTTCGGTCGAGAGCCAGCCCATGAAAGCGTAGGACGCCTCGCCTGCGCCGTCATCAGACTTGCCCCGTGTGTCCAGGATCGTCTGCATGGTCTTGGGCGCCGCCCCGAAGAAGATCGTCAACCTGCCGAATGGCTTCGAGGGGGAGTCGAAGCGGTGCTTCCTGCCCATGACGTTCCGTATATTCTTGCACTCGGTGGGATCCCCTTGCATCTTCGCGCAGTTGCGCGCGAAGAGGTCGGAGAAAATGTCTGAGTTCTCGATAATGTTAGCGACGCTCTTCTTCTGAATCACGAAGACGTTGGCGACGTCCATCAAGAAGGGGTCGCATTTCCAAGTCCTGGATGATATCCGACGGCTGCCGCGTGGCTTGTCCAAGTTCTGCACCTTCACGTTCGGCATGGCTCCGTCGCACGGGCTGGCATGCTGAGTCGCTGTAGGTGTCCACCCCCGGAGCTTCTTCCCCGCCAGGACTTCGTCAGCGGCTGCATCCGTGTCGAGAAGTTCTGTCGAGTTCAATATGTTTTGGCATAGGGCCGTGTCCATCACAGCGTCGTTGTCCTCGCTCATGCACGGTGGAGAAGCCATTGGTGTCGACATATGACTGATGATGAACATCGTTGCATCTCGTAGAGCGTTCGCGTCGTGAGTCGGGCGCAGCATGATATCTTCGTACTTCGGGTCGAGAGGCCTCATCGCCCCCATAAGGCCCCATCGCTGTTGTAGACTAGAATCTGCGCAGCAGAACCTGATCGCAAGACGCCCCTGCCCCACATCTCGATGTAGGCTGATGACTTGCGCCTTCCTGAGGGCATCGCGATGCTGCTCCCGGGCGCCCTCTGCGAGGCAAAACATCATTTTTCTGACCTTCTTCCGCCCGCCGACTCGAGCCACGTCGCTGTCGCCGCAAACCCGACCCGCCCGGGCATCCTTCAGGAGTATATTCCAATGCTCTCTCGGAGGCGCTCGCTGGGCTGCGTCGTCAGGGGCTTCTCCAATCCCTAACTCAACCAGCGCGCCTGTGTGCACTGGTGACTTTGCGTGTTTCAGAAAGTTGGACAACTTCATTGAAGGCCCTTGAACATTGAGTGCAGCATACGGCGTGGGAGCTGACACCAACTTGCAAGCACAACAACCCACTGATAACGCACCCGTACGCTCATTGGTGCCCGCCATAAGCCATGTGCCTTTTGAAGGGTCCAACTCATCGAGGAGTAATTTGGCAATCCGGTTTGATTTGTTCCTCGCCCAACAGCATCGAGGGCACTCCAGGACCTCGCACTTAGAAGCGTGGATCCGATCTGTGTCATCATCAGCTAATCTGGTAATTGCAGCCTGGCGCCTGGTGTAGAGTCGGCAACTATACTCCTTAGTCGATGTAGTCGTTGGCTCCACCATGTTCGGCATCTTGCGCCGTGTAGGTCCAGCATCCTCCTTTGAATGTAGTGTTGGTGGCGTTGCTCTGCTGCCAGAGTGGGGGCGGATGTCGCCCGCGTCTACCCACGGGTCGTACATTGATGGGCCATGTGCGTTAATCTCCGGCGTTAGATTGACTGAAACAGCACGCCAATTGTGTGAGCCCAAACGGCTAGAAGGTGGAAGAAGTGGTGGAGGAGGTGGAGCATGGGTCTTCCGTGGGAGTCCGAGGCTTTGTGGCCCTCCTCGTGGGGCCTACTTCGTCGTCGCGGCGGCTGGACGCGGCTCGAAAATTACTGCATTTGGGCGTTGGGAGGGTTCCAGTAGCCCACTGTAAGCGGATTTTAGCCTCGGACGTGTTGTTCGCACGACAAGCGGCCAACGGGCGATAGGAGGAGGAGCCGCTCTTAGAGCTTCGGAGCCCATTCACAGACCGCGCAAGACGAGATGGCGCAACTTAAGACGGACCAAGATGACCCAAGATGACCCAAGATGACCCGAGACGTTGGTATTATTTTGTTTATGTTGTTGTTGATCTTGTTGGTTTTGTGGGTGTTGCCGTTGCAGTTGCTGCTGTCGCTGATTATGTTGTTGTTGATGCTGTTGTTGCGTTTGTTCCTTGTTGCTCGCCAGTTCACCATCGTCTCTACCAAGACTACGTAATGATGCTGACAACGATCATGATGATGGCAATGATGGAAATTGTGGTGATGATTACGATCGTGGTGATGATGGTGAGGGCCAGAACCAGATAGATCAGTGATCCATCTGGTTGTGGGCTCTCCTGGTGGAGCTTTGTTGGTGCTCTGAAGGGCCCCCTTGTGTCGTTCTCGGGGCTTTCTTGGGCCCTCTTGAAAGCCTCTTGGGGGCTCTCTTGGTCGGGGTTTTCCGAGAAGCTCTGGGGAGCTCGGAGAGGCTCCAAGAGAGGCCAGGACCATATTGATCAGTGATCTATGACATATCTGTTTTGTGGCTCTCGTGGACCTCCCTGGGGGCTGTGAAGGGCTCTCTCGAGGCGCCTTCGAAGCCTCTTGGTGGACTCCCAGGCGACAAGAGAGAGTCCGATGATACAACACGTCATGGTTCAAGAGCGAATTCAGCAACATCACCGCCACCATAATCATCACCAGCACAAGCGTACGCATCATCACCATCATCATCAGCATCATCGTCGTCGTTGCCGTTGTCATAACAATAACCCATCTCATCATCATCATCATCATCATCATCATCATCATCATCATCATCATCATCATCATCATCATCATCATCATCATCATCATCATCGTGACCAACACCATCGCAATATTGATTACGACGAACAACCTCTAAGAAAGGGAAGCATGGATAGAGAGAATGATGAGGGTGATGAACGCTGTTTCTGCAAGAATGGTAGATGGTGATGACGACGATGTTGACGATATTGGCGATGATGGCGGCGATTGTGGTGAAGATGGTGATGCTTGTGGTGAGTGATGCTGGTGGCGATGATTTCGTTTGCTGTTTTTGTCTGCCCAAGGCGGCCCAGGACGAGATGGCGCAAGCAACCCGCGATGGCACAAGACGGCCCAACCCAAGACGGCCCAATCAAGTTGGCCTAATGCGCTTTGGTTTTGTTGTTGATATTGATGTTGTTGTTGTTGCTGTTGTTTGGCTGTTCCTAGACCCAATCTGTTTTGTGGACGTGCCTGGCGAAGGCGTGAGCGCTGCCGCGAGGGGCAGAACGAGCCACGAGTCACCCCTCTCATCAACGCCTCAGTCAGCTCTACCCTGGCGTCGTGGCGCGCCAAGGGATTGGCCGCGGCTAGTGCACTATGCAGCCGCGCACCAAGGGATCACTCATTCTTCTCTTTGGCCGCGGCTGGTGCACTATGCAGGGCGCACTGTGGCTGGGCTGTTTTCCGAACCCGCTCATCCAGTAGGACTGACATTGTGTAACAACACCTTGCACTATCGAGGTCGCATGTGCATGACAAGTCGAAGCGTGTTCACATGGCCGTTATTATTTGGCTCACTGGGCTCCCTAGCATGGGAAGGATCTTCGGAGAAAGACAGCCCTTGCATTGATTGAGGGATTCAAGCTTCAAGGGCAATCGCGAATAATTCATCACAGCGTTGAAGAACATTGCCCATCCAGATACGATGCCCAGACGAGTTGCCCTCATCAGGGATCTGGATCTAAACCCTCGCGGAACCCTCCGTCCAAGTCCAGGGAGGGTAAGGGAAAAGGGAGGAACCCCTCCATGAAGGGAAAAAAAAGGGGGTTGGAAGAGGAACCTCCCTAGACCACCTACGTACGCCCTGTAGGTCAAATATCCTATCATATATATATATATTTATATATATATATATGTATGTATGTATGTATGTATGTATGTATGTATGTATGTATGTATGTATGTATATACACATACATATATATATATATATATACATGTATCGGAGTAGGCCTGGCGGCGCGGGCGGGGTGGTGCCAGCGGTTGGCATGGCCGCCCCGGGCGTCCTGTGGGGTCCACGAACCCGCCCAAGACGGACGGCCCATGAGGCCCCAAAGACAACCCAAGAGACCCACAAGACAGCCTCAGCGAGGCCCAGGACGCTCAAGAGCGCCCCAAGAGGGCCTTCAATCGGCAACATCAGTATGTATATATGTCTGAATATATACATATCTATATGCATCCACATATATACATACATACATACATACATACATACATACATACATACATACATACATACATACATACATAGAAATAGAAACATATATAGATGTGTCTATTTTTGTGCACACAAAGAGGGGGCCAGGTCCCAGCCCGTGGGGCGGCCACGACGATGGATGATGGTGATGATGACGCCAACGATCGACATGGTGCTTCTGATGTTGGGTGGCCGAAAACAAATGCTGGTTGGTGACATTGACGATGACGATGACGATGCTGAGTATGATGGTGATGTTGATGGTGATGTTGGTTGTGATGGTGGTAGCGATGATGAAGATGATGATGATGATGATGATGATGAGGATGAGGATAAGGATGAGGATGAGGATGAGGACGAGGATGATGATGCTGGTGGTGGTAATGATGATGATGGTGATGATGATGACGGCAATGGGTAATGATGGCGACGACGATGATGATGGTGAGTGATGATGGTGGTGATGGGGAGGGAAGGAAGAAGAACCGACTGTGCAAACTTCCACGCGCTACTGCCTAAGCCCTGGTTGGTCCTGCAACCCATCAGACTCCCCGCTGCCCACCGCCGCCTCGTGGAGCTCCTCAAGAATGCGGGCCTTCTGCTCCTCGCCCTGCTCCCTCACGGTCTGGACAGCGCTCCTGGCCCTCTCCTTCAGCGCGGCCATCTGCTGCTCATGGCTCTCCCGCAGGGCCTCCTCCCGCTTCCGAGCCTCTGCCAGCTCCTGCTGCAGGACGTCCGCTGCAGGGCTGCCGTCCCCGTCGCACTGCGCGCTCATCAGCTCCAGCTGCAGGCTCTCTGCGGAGGCCTCTGCCCGGCGCAGCTCCTCCTCGAGGCGCTCTCGGGTGGAGCCAGTGGCGTCGTAACGTTCCTGCAGCTCGCCAAGCCGCCGGCGCTCCTCCTCCAGGGCCTCCTGGGCGCCGCCGAGCTCGCCCTTCAGCTCCACCACCGAGTCGGACATGAGCATCTCCGAGCAATCCTTGGCGTCCAGGTCGCGCTGCAGGTCGGCAATCGTCGCCTTGTTGTCCTCCAGGCTCCGCTGCGCCTCGGCCAGCTGCTGCTGCAGAGCTGCGGAATCGCCGCCCGAGTCCTCAGAGATGGCTTGCTGGAGCTCCTCCAGTATGCGGGCCTTCTGCTCCTCGCTCTCCTCGCGCACCTTCTGCACGGCGCTCCTGGCCCTCTCCTTCAGCGCCGCCATCTGCTGCTCATGGCTCTCCTGCAGGGCCTCCTCCCGCTTCCGAGCCTCTGCCAGCTGTTCCTGCAGCCCATCAGACTCCCCGCTGCCCACCGCCGCCTCGTGGAGCTCCTCAAGAATGCGGGCCTTCTGCTCCTCGCCCTGCTCCCTCACGGTCTGCACGGCGCTCCTGGCCCTCTCCTTCAGCGCCGCCATCTGCTGCTCATGGCTCTCCCGCAGGGCCTCCTCCCGCTTCCGAGCCTCTGCCAGCTCCTGCTGCAGGACGTCCGCTGCAGGGCGGTGGTCTCCGCCGCCAGTGGCGTGGTGACTTTCCTGCAGTTCGCCAAGCCGCAGGCACTCCTCCTCCAGGGCCCTCTGGGCGTCGCCGAGCTCGCCCCTCAGCTCCATGACCGAGTCGGACATGAGCATCTCCTTGGCGTCCAGGTCGCGCTGCAGGTCGGCAAGCTTCGCGCCCTTCTCCTCCAGGCTCCGCTGCGCCTCCGCCAGCTGCTGCTGCAGAGCTGAGGCATTCGCCGACCCCCGGGAGAGTTGCTCGGCGCGTGAGGTCGTCGACCCCTCCCCCGCTTGGAGCGGGAGGGATTCGAGGGGGAGGGGATTGGGGAGGAACGGATTGGAGGGGGAGGAGGGGAATGGGGTAGGGCATTGGAAGGGAGGAAACCTGGTCCAGCCGGCTTGGAAGGGGAAGGATTGGGGAGAAGAGGGACGGGGCGGAGCCGGAAGGTCTGGGCACCCCACATCGCCAAAGTACTTTCAAGGCAGCTCCGACATGGTCCTCAAAATGATCTCAGACGGCCTGCCAGGTCGTGCCGGATGCACCCGCATGCGTCCACGAGGCCCCCAGGCGGTCCCAAGACGCCCCAGGCGGCCAGTGCGCTCCTCGAGTGCCTGGCGAGGCCAGGATCAACAACAAGTAACATGTTCTAACATGTGTCGTGTCTCATGCTTTTCTGCATCCGATGGATCTGGGAACGCTCAAGAAGGCCGATGATGCCCGAAACGCGCCCCAACGGGAACGCTCAAGAAGACCGATGATGCCCGAAACGCGCCCCAACACGGACAATAATAATGCCCCAGGAGGGCCTCCATACGGCCCGAAACGGCCTCCAGAAAGGACACAGACAGCCAACGAGAGCCCCATGGCAGCCCAGGAGACCCCCAAGACGGCCTCAGAAAGCCCCCAACGGGCCGCAAGAAAAGCCACGACGGCACAGGAAAGCTCCCAAAGGACCCCAAGACGCTCCAACACGGCCCAGGAGGGCCCAAGAGGTCCTTAGGAGGGACCAAAACGCCCGCAAGAGATCCCCAGCACGGCCCAACAGGGACAGTTGAGCACGGCCTGGGGCTTCGCACCAAGAGGTTTCTACGACAACGCGCACCAGAAGAGGAGGAGGAGGAGGAGGAGGAGGAGGAGGAGGAGCCCAGCGTAGGGGAGGAGGAGGAGGAGGAGGAGGAGGAGGAGGAGGAGGAGGAGGAGGAGGAGGAGGAGGAGGAGGAGGAGGAGGGGAGGAGAGGAGGAGGAGGAGGAGGAGGAGGAGAGGAGGAGGCGGAGGCGGAGGCGGAGGATGAGGAGGAGGCACCTATGGCCCCCAACCAGGCGGGCGGCGTGGCGTGAGGCAACGCATCGCCGCCCGAGTCCTCGGCGATGGCCTGTCGAAGCTCCTCCCTCATGACGGCCTTCTGCTCGTCGCTCTCGTCGCGGACCCTCTGGATCGCAGCCTTCGCCCGCTCCCGGAGCGAGGCCATCTGCTGCTGATGGCCCTCCTGCAGGGCCTCCTCACGATGTCGAGCCTCCGTCAGCTGCTCCTGCAGTGCGGCGGCCTCGGTCAGGGCGTCGTCCTGCAAGAGCTGCTCTGCGCAGGCCAAGCGCTCTTCGAGGTAGTCGTTCGCCTTGTGCGCGTCCTCGGCCGTCCTCTCGGTCTCCTGGAGCGCGTCCTTGTACATGGCCACTTCTTGCCGGATGCCCTCGGCCTCGTGCTGCTCTGACTCCAGGGAGGCCCTGTACGTCTCCTTCGGGGCTGCAGAGGGAGAAGGAGCAGGGGGATGCGGTGGGACCCGAGAAAGCAAACAACACGTTTGCGCACCCTCCCGTCCCAAGCCTCCGACTCCCGGGTACACACTGTGCTGCAAGCGCTCCTCTTCACTACGGCGGCCAACGCATGCTCAAAGTGTGAAGGCCCCATGGGGGGGCCAAATGTTCGGACCAGGAGATGGCTGGAACGGTTATCGTGCCGTGGCTCCACCACAGGTTCGTGACCTGGGTAACGTGAAGAACCTTACGACAATGCCACAATATACGAGCCTGTGAGGACTGACATGACCATGCAATGATTGCAACTATTAATCGGGAGTGCGGCTTGGGAACGGCCAGAATCCGCACAAGATCAGTACAACCACGCGCGCTACGCGGGCCTGTCGACTCTAGCAAGATGTGGCCAATGATCTAGGCAACATCGGAATGACGGTACCAGCCTGCGAAACTATTGAAACACCATTCCGCATTTTTCAAATGGATGTGCTTGCGTACAGACGTGATTGAAGAGAGCCCCATTCAAATCGCATCGCGCAGTGCACGCGCGCCGAGCCGACGGCGGCCATAGCCCTGCGAAGCATAATGGATGAGGGTTGGATGGGTCTCACAATCTTCATAGCTACAATAATGTGCATTCACCCACCGGGCGGCTCCCCATGGCGGCCTCAAGCGGTCTCGGGCTTCCCACAAAACCCTCGGCTCCGGGCACATCCGTGCGTCGCACATGCTCTCACAATGCCACGAAAACTTCGGCGCCGAACGCATCCGTGCGCTTCACAAGGACCCGAAATGCCACGAGACTCTTGGCGCCGAGTTCAGAATCCCACGAAACCCACGGCGCCAAACACATCCGTGCGTCACACATGGTCTCACGATGCCACGAAACCCTGGGCGCCGAGCGCACCCACGCCATTCACAGGGTACCCACATGCCACGAAACCCTCGGCGCCGAACACATGCGCGCGTTTCATAGGGTATCAAAATGGCGCGCCGAATGAGAGGAGTACCGCGCACTGGAACGCTGATGACGACGCCGCGGAGAGCACGGCCACGACGCGAGCGCGGGATCCACTCCCAACCAATCGCTCTTGGACTGTACGCCAGGAGATCGCCCATCAGCATTGTAGTGGGACGCACAAGGCAGACAGTACCACTCGCACCCTGATGAAAACGCCGTGGAAAACAGCGGCGCCGAAGCGAGCGTGGAATCCGTTTCCAAGCATGTCTTCGCGGATGAAGAATGCGGCCTGTGAAAAAAATGGAAACAACATGCCGCGCGACTCAAACGGATGCATGCGCGTACAGACCTGATCAGAGACAACTCCGACCAGTCACACCGCGCACCGCACGCACGCCGAGCACGTGTGGGCCAAACGCCGTGCTACAACTCTGCGGCGCCTGGATCGCGCCTGGGTGGCGGCTCCCGCGCTCGAGCCACAACGAGACGGTCCTACCCCGAACTCACTGTGTAACGGGTGAGGGTCGGAAGGGGTCTCTGGAAGATGTGATAACAAAGAGGGCGACGAGTTGCACTCCGGGCGGCTCCCCATGGCGCGCACAGGCGGTCTCAAGCGGTCTCGATGGGCTTCAAAATGCCACAGAACCCTCGGCGCCGAGTACATCCGTGCGTCAAGCGCATCCGCGCGCTGCGCAAGGTTCAAAAACGCCACGACACCCTCGGCGCCAAGAACATGCGCGCGTCACACAAAGTCTCAAAAAGCGAAACCCTCGGCGCCAAGCGCATCCGTGCGTCTCACATGGTCCCCAAATGCCACGGAACCCTCGGCGCCGAGCGCATCCGCGCGCTTCACAAGGCCGCGAAGTGCCACGACACTCTCGGCGCCGAGCACATGCGCGCGTCTCACAGGGTTTCAAAAAGCCAAGAGACCCGCGGCGCCGAGCGCATCCGGGCGCTTCACAACGTCCCGGAGTGCCACGACACCCTCGGCGCATCCACGAAACCCTCGGCGCCGAGGACATGCGCGCGTCTCACAGGGCATCATAACTGCGCGCCGAGCGTGCAGAGTACCACCCGCTGGAACTCAGATGACGACAACGCCGAGAGCGCGGCTGCGACGCGAGCGCGAGATCCACTCCCAAATCTTTCACCTATGGACTGCAAGCCATGGGGATCGCCCATCGACATGGTATTGGGACGCCGAAGACAGACAATATCACTCGCACCCTGACGACGACGCCGAAGACAGTCAATATCACACGATGCGCGGCCCCGAAGGGAGCGTGGAATCCGTTTCCCAGCATGTCTTTCCTCAGACTTCACCAGCACCGAGCCTTCGGGTGATGAGCTGAATGCCGCGCAGCGGGCCCCAGTCGCGCTTTGCCCTGGACCCTCCTCTTCTAAGCAAGCCCTCCAGTTCCCCAAGCCTGTCCAAGCCGCCCCCTCTGGTGCGTTGCCGTCGCTGCGTGTTCCGCTCGGCGCCCCACGCAGGAGATGACGCACTCGTTGTCGGCACGGTGGAAGTGCTCTGCTCGGCGCGCAGCATGAAAAAATCGCGGCTGCCGGAACCGTGGACGCGTTCCACTCGACGCATTGAAGACCGATTGTTTTCCCCGACCGCGCGCCTTCTCCTTGGGACTGCTCTGTGGGCCTGCGCGGGGTCCTCCACTGGACTCTCTTGCAGCCTCTCGGGGCCACCTTTTGCTCCGTTGCCCTGTCCTGGGGCAGTATTGGAGCCCCCGTGAAGCATCTTTGGACGCTCGTGGGCCGTCCTGGGCCGTCCAAAAGCTCGGGGGCGCACAGACATGGATTAGCGATCCATGGATCTGGCGCACGGTCGCCAAATTCATGGATCGGGGGAGGTGCCCTCCACAAAATGCGGCCGGTGCCGCCTCTCGGGTCGGGCGAAAGGGGGGATAGCAAAAGGGGGGGGGTGAAAATTAGCTCGCGTAGCTGATTTCCCCGGCGCCTCCCGGCGCCGGATGCGGCTATGTATCGAGGGATGGGCCACTCGGTGGGGCCGAAACCAGCTGCATGCAACTAATTTCGTAACCCCCCATTTCCCAATCCCCCCCTTTTTGTCCGGCCCGAGCCTCGCTCGGCGGCGGAAATCCGCGATTTCCCATGGAACCGGGACGCGTCGCTAATCCGCGCACCCCTGATCCATGTTTTCGATCGCCTGAGAGAAGGAGCGGGCCTCCTCGGCAGGCTCTGAAGTCCCCCGGCCTTCTGAGAAGGGGTCTCTAAGCCTCTCCCCTGGGGACGCAGAAGACCTCCCAGAAGGCCAGGGGGCTTCTGAGAAGATCCGCCGCCTTCTGAGAAGGCCTTCTCAGAAGTCCGCGCACCCCTGATCCATGTGTGCAATCGCCTGGTGACGCGATCTTGGGCCGTCTTGGGCCTGGGCTTCCCCAAGAGAAGCCCACCTGCTTCTCCTCCTCGTCCTCCTCCTACTCCTCCTCCTCTTTCCTCTCCTCCTCCTCCTCCTCCTCCTCCTCGTCCTCCTCGTCCTCCTCCTCCTCTTTCCTCTCCTCCTCCTCCTCCTCCTCCTCCTCGTCCTCCTCCTCGTCCTCGTCCTCCTCCTACTCCTGCTGCCTTTCCTCCTCCTCCTCCTCCTCCTCCTCATCCTCCTCCTCTTTCCTTTCCTCCTCCTCCTCCTCCTCCTCCTCCTCCTCATCCTCCTCCATCCTCTCAGCCCTTCTAGCACATATTGTTTGTGCCTGTGGATCCCAACACTGCAGACGCGCCGGGGTTTCGCGAGCCTGGCTACGGAGTGGCCACGACGGCGCGCCGCGCGCCCTCCAGCGGGGTCCAGCCATGGCGCCCACCCGCCCTGGTAGTGCTGCAAGCACTGCTGATCGCACATGGTTATGCAGGTTCTGCACGCATGCTAGGACGGGAGGGGCGTCGTTCAACAATCCAGACAGAGATGTATGCTATCAATGCAGGCGTTCCGCAGGTGCATGCTTCCATAGTTACAAGGTGCCGAGCAATCCCAGCAGGCGAGTTTCCGAGATGGCACCTTGGAGTCAGACTTGCAGCTCCAACAGGCTCAGGACACCATAAAGAAGTTGGAGTCTCAGCTCAAGGAGCAGAAGAGCAAGTCAGCGACGAAGGAGCTGGATACTAGGGACGTCGACGCTGGCGAGGGGGCCAGCGCAGGAGCCCCTCAGGATGAGCAGCAGTTCAATGAAGGAAAGGCTCGTCCGAGGCTGGCTGACGTGGAGAAGCAGATTGGCATTGCCAGTGGATGTGAAGGACCCGCCTAGGCCACTCTCAAGGCCGCGCTCGTGGAAGAGAGAGATGGCATATAGGCGGACATCAACAGCGGAAGCTTGCGGCGGCTAGGATGCTCAATCTTACTGGTAAGATCGAGACTATGGGTGGCCAGATCGCCATGCAGGAGAAAGCCATCGAGGACAAGCTGCTGAGGCTCCAAGAGTTGCAAGATGGGACCAATGAGGCTGAGAAGGCGGTGGCGGAGAAGGTCAAGCTGGATGAGATGCGTGCTCAGGCAATGGAAGTTGATCAGGCCTCAGTCAAACCACCTGGTGGCGCTGGCGATGAAGGTGGTGGTCATGTTAATGCAAGTGTGCTTGATGCAACGATGCAAGTGCAGGTGACCAAGCCGACAAACTGGTCGAAAGAATTGTTCATGCTCTTCCGCATAGCATTGCCAATGCCAGGGTCGCAGTTGTGGGCAGAGCTGGCGTGTCGACAGTGGTGGCAGGTGATGACAAGGCTGCTAGCGTGGCTGCTGCTCAGGAGCAGGTGGCCAACGAGGCGAAGGAGAAGGCTCTGGAAGAGGCCAGCGAGGACGCGCTCAAGACGACGCTGGCGTCAGCAGGAGTCACGGCGCCAACTGGCCCGGCGGAGCTGCGTAGTGCTGCCAAGAAGCTTCTCCACTTCAAGCATCGGGACAAGATCCAGGCGTTGCAATGATCCAGGTGATGGCCTGTGCATGTTAGTGTCGTTGGCGATGGCGTCTGGTAGTGTTTGTGAGAGGGCAGCTTCTACATCGAGGGCGACCGCTGGATCCTAGGTATTGGCTGCGAAGGATAATTATTCTGAGACGGGTTGGGGCACCGATACTGGTCGGGTGTCTTCTCTTATAGGATGCAAGCTGAGTGCCCAATCGATCCCTGCTCGGTCGCCTGCGTATCCTGGAGCTGTCGATGGGGCCATGGGGCACTCGGCTATACGCTGTGCTGCTTAGATCCGGGTCTTGATATCCGGTGGCCGCCCCGAAAAGTAGAAAAGCGCGAAAAGCGCGAAAAGTAGAAAAGCGCGAAAAGTGCGAAAAGTAGAAAAAAGCGCGAAAAGTAGAAAAATGCGAAAAGTGCGAAAGGTGCGAAAAGTGCGAAAAGCGCGAAAAGTGCGAAAAGTTGCGCGAAACATGTGAAACGCACTCGAAAAGTAGAAAAGCGGGAAAAGTGCGAAAAGCGAGAGAAGAGCGAAAATGGATACAGCGATGCGCAGAAGAGGCCGAAGAGCGCGAAGTGTTCGAATGGCGCGCGAAAGGTGAAACAAAAAGCACGAAACGCGCAACAAACGCGAAAAGTTTAGACAACAAGGCGCCGTCGCTGGAGAAAAGCGAAAACAGCGAAACAAATGTGAAACTACGAGGACACAGTAACACGACAAATCGGAAGACCGAGACGCGCAAGCCTACGGAACGCTGAGAAGTCAATTCCTTCTGAGAAGTTCAGCAATGAGACACTTGGCAGACAATCCTGCGAACATTGCAAAATCAATAGAATCCGGAGAGAAGAAAACGATTATACATATATATATATATATATATATATGTCACGGAATACCCCGTTATCCTTCCTCCTCTTCGGTTTTCCTGACATGGGAGCCGCAACGCGCGGAAACGAATATGAGAAACACGACCAACGGAAAACATGTAAAACACACGCGAGCTCGAGAAACGCGAACCACATAATACCGAGAACACGGGCCGCGCGCAATAGCCGGGCGAAAAACATGAAGACCAGAAACGCTTCCAAAGCGGAAGTATATCCCACCAGCCCTCTAGGGCGCAGGTGGTCTAGGGCGTTTCCTTTTCCAACGTCCTTCCCCCCCTGCTCAGGAGGTTTTACCCCTACTCCTCCATGGGTCTGGACGGGTTCCCGCGCGAGGTGTCAGAGCGTTCTTTGGCCCAAGATGGTTCCAAGAGGGTCTCGGAAAGGCCAAGATGGCCTCCAAGATGGCTCAATATACCTCAAGATGGCCCAAGATAGTCTCCGAAATGTCTCCAAGAGGCTCCCAAACGGCCCCCAGACGGTTCCGAGTGCCCTCCGAGCTCTCCGAGGACCCCCCCAAGAGGCCCAAACCTGTCAAAAACCAACAGAAAATGCCTTCTCGCCTTTTCGCTTCCGATGGGCTCTCGAGGCCCCAAGTTGGCCCAAAAGGGCTCCAAGACGGCTCCAAGAGCGCCCAGGAGCGTCCCAAGAGCGCCGCAAGGGCCCCCAGACGCTCATTCTGAGCCTCCGAGGGGCGGGGGCCTGAATTGCAGCCGCCGACCTGTTTTTGAACAGTGGTGCCCAAGATTGCCCCAAGAGGCGCTCCCAGAGCTCGAGACGCTTAGATAGCCGGATGTTCGAGACGCTTAGATAGCCGGCTTAGGCTATACGCTCCCTGGGGCCTTCCTCGTCGGCTCGCGGTGGCGAGCAGCTGCTGGGCGCGGCTCGTAGCGAGCTGGAGCCGAAAGGAGGTAAAGGGCCGCCTCGCGCCAGCAAGCACGGTCAAGCACTCTGCTGAAGATGGAGGCACATATTACCACGGACGAATCTGATGCTCCTTGACCTTTTGTTGCAATATGTTGAGCAAGCACGCGATGCAACTATTCTGGTTCAGGGGCATAAGTCGGACGCAGGCATGTTGCCCAAGTTCCAGCAGCAGCTCAAGGACATTGGCGACCATGGAATATATTCAGCTGCTGAGAGAACGGAATCTGATGGTCTCAGTGCAGGGGCGTCAGTGATTGCGCCAACGTTTGCGACGATTACGGCGCCACCGCTGCTAGCTTCACCAACCGCGTGGCCTGCCCGAGCAGTTGCTGCACAAGTGAGCTGGGCATGCAGCAATGGAATGGTGCTGGTCTCGCATTATCTGGAAGGCTCGGCGCAAAAATACTGAAAAGGTGCACGCGTTTGGCACTTACTGCGCGAGTCGCATGCATCGAGAGCGGGCGGGCCGAAGATCCTGGATGACAAGCTTCTGCCCGCGCGTTCGCCTGTGGCCTTGCTATTTGCTAACCCGGATCGCGATGCATGGCCGGGGCTTCCCCTTGAGCCGCGGCAGTCGCCCGAGGGGCCGAATATTGATTGATCGAGGTTTTATGCGGATTGGGTGCCAGTCATGCGAGCTATCGCAGATGCCGATGACGCGACAACTCTGCAGCATGCATGGGACATTGTACTGATGGCAGTTGAACAGGAGTTACGTGGACGCGACGACACGGTTGGCGCAGGCTGGCGCAGGAAATGAAGGCCCCCCTGGTCGAGGTGGACCTGCACAAACAAACGTCGTTAAGTCGCAGTGGGGGCCTGCGAGAGCGCGACTGCAGCGTGGCCCTTCATTACGAGCATGATTGCAAGCAACAAGATGAGCCAAGCATTAGATGGACGCACGTGCGTTTTGGTATACGATGATTGATGCGTATCAGAATGGAGCCAGCGGTGCTGGTCAGCTCTACTTGCCAGATTACGAAAGCCCGAATGCTGGCAAGGAGGTGGCGTTGCAGACCGCGCCTGGCGAGATGGCTGAGGCCCGGGGCAGGATCGAGGCCAAGCGCCCCCACGCGGGCTCGACAAAGGCTCGAAGCGCACACTGTCAGGACGGAGGTGCACCACGAGAGGCACGTCAACGAGATGATCCTCAAGGACAGCCCAAGGGCCACAAGTTGTTCACGCCGACTGCGAGGCTGGCGAGATCGCTGGTCGACGTCGTATGTTTTTGAACCAGGTGTACTTGGTGCAGGATACGCTGCAGCACTTGGGCGAGTGGGCTGTCTCTTCCTGTTCGGCTGATTCCAGTGATGGTGAATCCAGAATTTCAAGTTTTGCGTAGAGAGTGGCTGAGGCTGCAAATGAAATAATGGCGAGTCAGCAGACGGAGGCGGGCAGGTCTTGGCAATCATGGGTCAGAACGGCAAGCCATGGAAGCGGCTGTCACACATGCGGACGACTCGAAGCCTTATCAACTTGCACCGTGCGATGGACTACTGGAGTGAAGTATGGAGCTGCCATGGTGGATCGAGAAATACGCTGCCGTCGGACCGTGCAAGCTGGGGCGACATCCCCAAGTTGAGCCCCGAGGATTAGCAGGCTGCCGCTCTCACCTTTCGTTGGAAAACAGTGGGGCCTGCGCGCCTGCATCCGCGAGCTGTTTGGTCGTCGTCTCAGCCTGGGGTCGTTCCGCCCTGTTCTCTCTCTGCGGCATGCGAGCGCGCGCTGGCGAGGCCAACCGATGGGATCGTCAACGAGATGCGTCGCAGAGCTTTGCCAGGCGGGGGACACAGGCTGACCACCTTAGTCGAGAGCCTAGTCAGGTTGTTGTCTAGAGCCAGGCGATCGCTATCGAGGGCATGGATTCAAGATCGCGGATGTCGACACGTTTGGGGTAACCGCAGAGGTTGTTCATCGAGTTCCCTGGAATATGAACACAGCATCCAGGCTGACATTGCTGAACGACTAAGTGCATGCTCGCTTATTGTTTCTTGAAATGTGGAAATACTATGAGACTGCGAGGTATGATGCCTTGATCGTTGAGCCCTGGTCCCTGCAATTCCCCGGTGCTCCTGGATTCGCACCCTCGACCTCAGGTTATACGTGCGCCCAGGTGCTGGAGTAGATCCTCTCGGGCTCGCCAAGGGGTCCTGGCTGGGTGCGCGCGTGCGACTACCCTCTTGTCTATCCTGTACCATAGGGCAATTCGCAAGGTCACCCAAGTTTGCCCCAATGTGAAACCTCGAGCCCATGTTGATGATTCGACGTTTCAATGGTTTGGGTCCAGATGGGGATACGGCCATGGAGCTGCGTGGTAGACAAGTCCAGCCTGGGTCTCTTGCACCAAGTGAAATCGTCTGGGTGGGTAGCCACTGCGGCATCGGCTAGGCATGGGTTCGGGAAGCCCGCTCAGAACATCCGCCGGAAAGGCCAAGTCACGGGTTCGGAATCTCGGGCATGAGCTGAGCGAGCCCGAGCCAATAAGAGACTTAGCCAAATCCAGGCTAGCAGCTAGAGGAAGGGCCCCCTTGACCCAACATGCTACAACGCGGTGCCAGATATCGGGTGCCCATGTTGTTGAGAACAGCTTTGATGCCAGCCGCTGCTCATGGAGGAACTGTCTCAGGTACCGATGGCAATGAGCTGACCAGGCTCAGGAAAACGGCGGCGATGCTGGCTGGACGAATCAGCAAGTTTTCCTCCCTCGCGCTCGTCCTCGCTACCCAGGCTGAGGTCAAGTATGAGCCGATCTACGATGCGGCACTCGATCCGCTTACGGCCTATTCGTAGTTCATTTGGGGCCAGATGGTCAGCCTGCGAAGGCCACAGAGGGCTTGACATCGGGCTCGAGAGGCCCACCTTAGCAAGTGGGCGTCAGCTCAAAAAGTCCCATTGCAGTGCTTCTCTTATCTCCGGCAAGGATAGGATGGGACATGAATGCGAGCACGGTGTGTGTCAGTGACCTTTTGCCACCATTTCGACCTTGTGTTCCTTCCACCGCGCTCGGTCGCGGAGCTTCTTCGCCAGGGCATCGAGCGTTGGCAAGCCGTTCGAAATTTATGGCAGCAGAAGATGCATGTGTAGGTGAGGAGATTATCTGAGCGAGGGTGCTGAGGAAGTGTATCGGAGGAGGGAAGACAGTGATCAAGAATGCAAGATTCGCTGGTGCCCTTCGTTCCCTGTAGTCAGGTGCGC